CGTGGTGCTGACGGACCTCAGGAGCCCGGCCGGTCCCCTGAGCGTGGCCCAGTGCGGCGTGGCGCCTGCGCCCGGTTTCCGTGGAGTAGCGCTCCTGGCCGTCTCTTTTGCGCCTCTGCTGGAGGATCACTTGGCCGTGTCTGGTGAGTCGGGGATGGGGTTTCTGCCTTGGGGTGATGGATGAGGAGGAGGAGGAGGGGCTGATTCCCCAGGCCCCCTTTGCAGGGGCAGCTGGGTGTCCTGTGGGGTTGCCCCACGGAGAGGGAGCTAAGAGAAAGGAGAGTAAGACAGAGGCCTCCCTGAGCTTCTCTGCCAACCTAGGCGGGGAGGGAACATGTGAGAGGGGCTAAGAGGGTCAGCCAAGCCCCTCCACCCCGGCAGAAGCTGCCCCACATTTGCATTCCATGGGCAGAGCCTCCCAGAGCCTGGATGTAGGTGTGTGTGGAGGGGGTGTCTTCGGAGAGCCCCTCCCAGGCCCATCCCACCATTTGCAAGGACGGCAGCTCACAAACCCAGATCGGTAGGCTTCACCTCCTGTAGAAAAGGGCTTTAAAGTTCCTTATCTACCCGGTTGGCTTCTGTGGTCATTGCTCCCTGTGGTTGATCAGGGAGGGAGGCAGGCAGGCTGGCTGGCTCGCGACAGCTTTCTTTCTCTTTTAAATAAATCCACTAAATGAAGAGTGCAAGTAAGTAGCTTGGAAGCCCATCTCCGAGAGGGTGAAACGAAAGGGTGTGCAGAGTTGGGTTCGTCGGCTGCCATTCCCAGGGTCCTTGGGGAATTCTGGGGATTGCAGTGTGAAAGCACAAAAGAGGACACCCTAGGACTCACAACGGTGCCACGACGAGACAACCGAGCAGGAAACCCCACCATGGGCTCCAGTGACAGGAGGCCAGATTTCGGTGGAATCTCAGGGAAAAGCTTCCTAACTGTTAGAGCAGTACGACAAAGGAGCCCCTGACCTCGTGAGGAGGTGATGATGATGAGCGATCCCGCGTGGGAGGCCTTCGAGAGAACCACCCCCCGGCAGATCTCCTCTGATCCGGATTCCTGCCTCGAGCAGAGGGTTGGGCTGGATGGCCTTAAGAGGCCCCTCCGACTCTCATGATGCTATGATTCTGTGTTAAGAGGCCTCTCCGACTCTCATGATGCTATGATTCTGTGACTGTGTGTGGACCCTTACACGGGAGGACAAGAGGACCCGGAGAGGGTTTACTTTTCAGGGGTCACTGTTCCCGTCCTTAATCCCTTAAGCAGGGTTGGGATATTTCCTCTCTTGTCGGCCCCAGAATTTTATGCCGGAGCGCTCGGAGGCGGCAGGAGGCTGCGTTTGTTGCCTCCCTCCTCCTGAAAGGAGGGACGTGTTCTCACCTCTGCTTTTCCTTTTCCAAAGGTTTCGACGGGATCGTCCGCATCTACGAGACGCACCAGTGGGATTCTGCGACGCAGGAAGCCCAGCCCACGTTCCTTCACAAAGGACACGTCTTTGGTGGACCCGGTGGGGCCAGAGAGCCGCCCCTGGTGACCGCTCACACGTGGCCCTCCTCCTGAAAGGAGGGACGTGTTCTCACCTCTGCTTTTCCTTTTCCAAAGGTTTCGACGGGATCGTCCGCATCTACGAGACGCACCAGTGGGATTCTGCGACGCAGGAAGCCCAGCCCACGTTCCTTCACAAAGGACACGTCTTTGGTGGACCCGGTGGGGCCAGAGAGCCGCCCCTGGTGACCGCTCACACGTGGCTCTAAGCTAAGCCCCGGACGTTGTTATCAGCAGCCAGCGACAGGTCGCTCCACGTGTGGGACTGGGCTGATCCCCAAGGGGGCGCCACCCGATCCACAGGGTTTGCCCCCTGAAGTCCGCCGTTGTTACAAGCAAACGGGGAACATTCAAGGAAGGTGTTCGCACATAACCTCTAGGGCCCACTGCCCCCCTCATAAACCATCTCCAGTTAGTGGTGCTGTTTCCTGTGGCTTGCGCTCCAGGGGCTGGATCTAGCCTGATGGGAGACGGGAAGAGAGCAGCGAGAAGCAGAGAAGGGAACACAGTGGGAGGTTTATGTTGTGAATGCGGAGCGAGTCCTTGCTCCATTGAGGCTTAAAATATGAGTGGGGAAGGCCTGACCCCTAGCAAGTGTCCATTAGAGATGGGATCTGGGGAAAGGAGGGACGTGTTCTCACCTCTGCTTTTCCCTTTCCAAAGGTTTCGACGGGATCGTCCGCATCTACGAGACGCACCAGTGGGATTCTGCGACGCAGGAAGCCCAGCCCGCGTTCCTTCACAAAGGACACGTCTTTGGTGGACCCGGTGGGGCCAGAGAGCCGCCTCTGGTGACCGCTCACACGTGGCACCCCTCTAAGCCACGGACGTTGTTATCGGCAGCCAGCGACGGGTCGCTCCACGTGTGGGACTGGGCTGATCCCCAAGGGGGCGCCACCCAAGCTACAGGGTTTGCCCCCTGAAGTCCGCCATTGTTACAAGCAAACGGGGAACATTCAAGGAAGGTGTTCGCGCATAACCTCTAGGGCCCACTCCCCCCCCCACAAAGCATCTCCAATTAGCGGTGCTGTTTCCTGCGGCTTGCACTCCAGGGGCTGGATCTAGCCTGGTGGGAGACGGGAGGAGAGCAGCGAGAAGCAGAGAAGGGGACACAGTGCGAGGGTTTATGTTGTGAATGCAGGGCGAGTCCTTGCCCCACTGAGCCTTAAAATGTGAGTGGGGAAGGCCTGACCCCTAGCAAGTGTCCATTAGAGATGGGATCTGGGGATTACAGATCCCATAATTCTCCAGTCTGGATGTTCTACATGACAGGCAGACACTGTACAGATGCCGCAATGTGGCTCACCTGGGACAAAGGCCACATCCACCCAGAGTGGCCTTGGGCTAGATGAGCAGTATACAAATCGAAGGAAGGAATAAACAAATGAATAAATAAAATAAACTGGGAGGCTTTGAGGCTGAGCTAGGCCTAGCTGTGCCTAGCTTCCTGTTCAGAAAGAAAACTCCCAGCTAGCCCTGGGGCAGGAACAGGAAGTTTGGTGAGAGCTAGGCCTAGCGAGATCTCAAGTTGAGGCCTTTCTCCCAGTTGATCCCAGCTAGCACTGGGGCAGGAAGAGGAAGTTTGGTGAGAGCTAGGCCTAGCAAGATCTCAAATTGAGGCCTTTCTCCCAGTTGAGTCCCGTTTTGATGTCTGTCAAGTAGAACTCTCTGAATGGAGAATTATGGGATTTATGGTCCCCAAAATTAAGTTTTCAAGCCACATTTTATGATGCTACCCCGTTGCAGAGAATGATACACAGTGAAAGAAGTGCCAGGTGTACCTGACTCTGTGCCCATTAAAGGGAGCGAAAGAAATCATGAAAATGATTTCCTAAGGGGGAACAGGTCCCTAACTCTTATCTTGAGAAACCTTAGGCCTTCCAGGGTTTCACTGTAGTTGTTTAATCACACAGGGATTGTGGATAAATAACCAACGTGTCCCTAGCAGCTAAGAGCGTGCTCCAGCATTTTTTAGCATGGCTATTTATCAGTATTGGGCCAGGAGATAAAGGGAGTTTGCAAAACCGTGGGCATCCCCTGGCATGTTGCAGAAGCTGATTCAGGACGGTACCCCAGGGCCCCATCATCCTAGAGAACCTGCAACTGTAGGACTCAAGCAATAAGGCCAGAGACCGGTAGTGCCTCCAGACAGAAATCTGGGTATCAGGAACATCCAAGAACTAGTACCAACTGGTGGGTGAGAAGATGTACTGTAAGAAGAAGGCGCACCAACTCGCAAATTCCTGTTGAAAGGCAGCCCACGAAGGTGGAACCAGACCCCCTTTGGCAGGTTTTCTGGGGCACCTCCACTCCTCATCGTTGGCAGGCTCTGGAAGAGGGCACTTTGGACAGGAAGTAGGAATGGCTAAAGAATGAATGTGGGCAGGTGGGAGTGTGTGGCTGTTTGGGCAGCAGCCGTGAAGCTTTGCAACAACTAAGTGGCTACCAAAAGGGGGCATTGTTGTAGTGGTACTTCGCGAAGGAGGTGTGTGTGTATTTTTTGGCAAGGGGTTCAGCTTTGGCCATCCTCCCAGGGATTCAAAGATAGGTCTCCCGTCTGGGAGAAAAGGCCTCAACGGAAAGACTTTGAGGCTTAGGTTGGCCTAACTGTGCCTAGCTTCCTGTTCAAAAAGAAAACTCCCAGCTAGCACTGGGGCAGGAAGAGGAAGCTTAGGCAGAGCTAGGCCTAGAAGCCTTCCAGTTTAGGCCTTCCTCCCAGGTGAGCCACATTGAGGCATCTCATCTGTCAGGTGGAACTCCCTGCCTCTTTTGAAAGAAAAGACCAATTTTGAAAGAAAAGACCAAGGGAATTGAGCTTGTATCCTTTCAAATACCCTTCAATAAAGAAAAGGATGCCCCTGTTTTTCGATGAAACCAAGCAGGCCCCGTTAGAGAGACAGAGAAGTACATTCACAAATTGAAAGTCAGACTCCTTAGGGGTGGTTTTTTTCTTCTTCTTCCCCTCAGGTTAACAAACTAGAATAATTTATTTGACAAAAACACAGAAAACATCACAGATAAAGAGTGGAAGAAGCGAAGGATCTAAAGGAACAGTACAAAGGAACCACATTACAAAACGGACCACACCCCGGCTGGGTTCGCTCGAGACGGCCAAGGGCGGCTTCTCCCGCGCCAGCGGCTGGGCTCTGCTCAGCTCGGCTGTCTCTCTCTCTCTCTCTCGCTGCGGCTGGGTTCGCTCGAGACGGCCAAGGGCGGCTTCTCCTGCACCTGCGGCTGGGCTCTGCTCGGCTGTCTCTCTCTCTCTCTCTCTCGCTCTTCCCCACCCCATCCTAAGCCCTTCGTCCAAGAGGCCAAAGTACAAACCAACCCACCCTTCTAGAAACGCAAAACATCCCAAGCCCTCCCTCCCACGGCAAACACAACGAGGGGACGACGCTCGAGACGGCCAAGGGCGGCTTCTCCTGCACCTGCGGCTGGGCTCTGCTCGGCTGTCTCTCTCTCTCTCTCTCTCGCTCTTCCCCACCCCATCCTAAGCCCTTCGTCCAAGAGGCCAAAGTACAAACCAACCCACCCTTCTAGAAACGCAAAACATCCCAAGCCCTCCCTCCCACGGCAAACACAACGAGGGGACGAAACAAAGGTAAAACGGCGTCAGCCGAATCGAATAAAACTCGGGGCCGATGGATGCATGGCTTGCCGCTGCCAGCTCTTAGGCGAAAGGGCAATCCTTTCCTCCTGCAAGAGGCAGTGCCCCAGATCCCTTCAGCCTTTGCAGTGGGCCCTGGAAAGGTCCCTGTAAGAGCAGCTCAATCTGCAAACTTCAGAGCAGGTGGAAGCTCTACGCTTTTTTGCTTGCAGATTTCTGCCTCTCAGCCTCGTACGGGGGCTTCTCTTTTTTTACCGCCCGGTCTGAGGATGCAGGCATGTAAGTAAAGCTCAAGCTGCTTCCCACCTGGCTGCATCCACTTGCACAACAGGCGGTCAAGGCGAAGAAAACACAGCCCTTTCCCTCTGCCCAGGAAAACCGAAGTCCCTCGGCCTGCAAAGTGGGAGTTGTGCTGTGTCACACAGTCACTCCAGAGGAAAATAAGGGGTCATGGGCCTTTTTTCTAGCAGATGTATGTTCTACAAATACAGTAGGACAAACGCTGAAAAACAAAGTACACTATTTTAATAGTGAACATGATACACAGCGTGACCTCTGTCTCTCTCTAGTGGCCACTTCTGGTAATGACATTGTGAAAATCTAGTCATGGTCTCTGGCTTCCTCTAGTGGCCAGTTCTGGTAACTTTATTGTTTTTATAAAATATTTTCAGATCTTAAATAAGTGAATCAGTGGATCTTGATCCCGTAGATAAGGGGTCATACTATAGTTGGGTGGGCGGCTCTTTGTGGTTGGAAAACACCTTGTTTTCTGGGGCAATTGTCTCTTAAACCCCTGCCTTTACCCCC